ACAACATATAACTTTAGTTAGTACGTTGTTACTTTTGAAGGGGTAAGCGAGAGGAACCATGCTTTCCAGCATCAGTGGTCCCGCCACTTTTACATGTAAATGCTTGGCAAGCGTAAGCCAAACAAAACAGCCTGCGCCCGTCATGTCCTCGACCTACGTTACGCAAAAGAATAAAGGCTGCAAAAAAACATACAACAGAAGGGATTCGCTGGTGGTCACCCACCCAACTACTAACCTCCCGGCGTGTGGCTTAAGTACGGCTGAGCGGACGGGAAGCCCTGTTTTCCACACCCTGTGGTCGTATGTGGTTAATCTGTACCATGTTTAATATATATCGGCATAAAAAGAAAGACTTCGTATGTTCTCTTGTAACAAGAGGAAGGCAGCACGTAAAAATCATCAACCTGCTTCGCTCTACGCAAAGCCTCATACAATTGACTAAAGTTGACATCTTTTAAGCACTGCGCGCACATTTTCATTGGTTTGGCACATTGTATTGGACGCAATCATTGACACCGGATCTCCCGTCGTAATCAAGATATATACTCGACGCGTGTGGAGCCCGCCATAAGTTGCGATTTGCCTTTCGAGAGGCTACAAATATATCTTATCTGCACGAGGCGTCCAGCACTCAATGAACCGGGAACTCAACAAGCACACCTTTCTTCGCGGCAGACCACCGTAAACAGAACTAATCTCTACCCAAGTCTCCAATTTCATCATACCCCACCCTGAAGAGAACTCTATCTATGTCAGCGTTGCTATGTAATTCGGCCACGTGATTCGAAAGGCCTTGTCATCTTGTTTGGAGTTCTGACGGCGGCCCGGTGGCCTCGCCTTAGGCTGCCAGCTCACCGCCCACCTCGGTGGCCTTAGCTAGTTCCTCGCAGTTAGCCTGAGGTAGTCAAAATCCAAGCATCTTCCACCTCTCTCTGAGGCGTCATCAAGTTCCACCAATCAACTAATCACTAAGAAAATCAAGGATACGTTCCAGCACCTCTCCTCTGAGACCTCGAAATTGCCGTCAGTCTATCTTCCCGTCCAGGGCTCAAGCCCCACCCGATGTGCTCTTTGATCCTCGTCTGCCTGTGCCTAAAGTTGAATTGTCCTGGCGCGCAACTGCGGCCCATACCGTTCCAGTAAGAAGGGAATCGGAATCATCGCGATACAAATGAATGCCAGGAGCATCGATCCCCTAATCATGACAAAACCGTTAGAACTGGCTGGCCAGTCACCTGCTAAAGAGATTGGGGACAAGAGAGAAAGATAAAAAAAAAAGGAAATAAGATTCAGACTAAGAATCAAGAAAAGGCAAAAAAAAAAAACAAAAAAAAAAACAAAATAGAAAATAAAAGCTCACCAGGCATATCCCAACCGCCGATACAACTCCGACCCGACCACCGTCAAGACACATGTCAGCACGCACCGGGTGATCACCGCCGCCGCCAGCGCGCTGGCCGCATACTGTTCGAACGCGTCGACCAGGTAGGCGTGGATGGCGACGTAGCCCATCAGCATCCCCATCCCCAGCACGCAGGCCCCGACCAGAGGCACCACCCAGTGCGTCTGTTCCTCCGCGCTCCACCCAAAGATAATTAGACCCGCGGGGACGATCAACATCCCAGCTTGGAGGAACGGCAGCCGGAACTCGGGCATCCGGATCGGGGCGGTCGTATCATGTTGGCCGGATTTGACGGCGTGGTGGCGCGCAGCGCGGGCGTAGGAGCGGTTCAGAAAGCGCGCGCAGACGGCGGTGCCGAAAAGGGAGCCGATCCCTGCGCCGAGGAAGGCGAGCCCAGTTGTGCCGCCGGTCCAGCGGTAGGAGAAGAGCGGGGGGATGGAGGTGGGGCCGTAGAGGAGGGGGATGGTGATGAGGTGGAGGTAGAGGATGCCATAGATTCTGGATAGAGCGATTGGTCAGGGTTAGAAACAGTGATAGCAATTTACATGTCCGGAAAACCCCAAGCCAGAAAAAGAAGAATAAGAAGAAATGGGAGGTGCATACAGGGAAAGGTAAAGACTCATGAACGTGCAGATTGGCGAGGTGAAAAGCAGGCGAACAGGCCGAGTCAAAGCGACACGCAAGACCTTCAAAAGCTCGATATGGGCTCGAGGCTGGGCGACGGCGCCCTCACATCTCTGTTTCTGCCGCAGCAAAAAAGGCTGGTAGGTTTCGCGCTGCACGAGGATGGCCGCCACGCTCGTAACCCCTGAAGCAATGGCCATCACCCACAGCAGCCATCGCCAGCCCCCGGTGCCGTGCACGATGAACCCCCCTATCACCCCACCCAGAACCGGTCCAAAGGTTGGTCCCAACGAGTACACGGCCTGTGCTTTTCCTCGTTCCTCCGGCCGGAACATGTCCCCGACACTACTGCCCCCGAGGCTGGGACCGGCCGACCCAGCCATACCGGACAATAGACGGAGGACGATCAAGGCCCCGACATTGGGCGATAAGGCACACCCGACATTGAGGACGGTGAAAAGGCAGAAACTCACTACATACGCCACTCGACGGCCGTAGACTTCCGAGCAGGGTGCCACGAAGAGCGGTCCGATGCCGAGACCAAGCACGTAAAGACCGATAGGTAGAGCCGCGACGTATGTGTTGGTTAGCGAGAAATCTGACATGAGTTGTGTGGTTCCCATCACTAGAATCGTGGACGCAATCGGGGAGAGCGTGCCTTGCATCGAGATGAGCAGAATATTGATCCATTTCCATTTGCTCGGCCAGGTGCGCGGGTCAGCGGGATCAAACAGACCATCTTTGTCTTCCCCATTTTCTTGGACAGAAATCCGTTCCAGGGAAGGAGGCATGGGGACAATAAAGCAAGGACGACAAAAGTGATCCGACAGCAGTCACTGGGCAGAGAGGGTTCGGGGTCCGGGATGGGAAGGACAAGAGCGCGGGCTGGACCCCCCCTTATATATGACTCTCAGCCCTAAGTGACTGCGGATCGTATCCAGTAATGGAAACGGGACGATCGATTTCAACTAGTGTTATTTATGACTAGTGCATTATACCATGCATCTTCGAAGTCTATCTTACAAACAGAGCAACAAAATCCTCAATCGCAAGCTCATCATCCTCTACACTGCGCACGATCTTCTCAGTCTCTTGCTCATCGAACGCCGTACCCATATTGACACGAAACTTCTCCAGCACCTTATCCAGGGTGTCTGGTCTCCGCGGATGCCCGACCGGATACTCTACTACCACCTCATCAAGGACTCTACCGTCATCGAGCTCCACTGTGATGGCATTGGCTCCTGTGCGCACCTTAGGATCATAGTAGTCCGCCGTGAACTTGGGATCCTCCACGACGGTCATCTTCGCCCGGAGCGCATCCACCCGCTCGTCGCTCGCCCAGGGCGAACTGTCCAGGTAGTCCGCCGTCTCGATAACGGCGCCCTTGAGCAGGACCACAGCCACCATGTACTGGAGGCAGTGGTCACGGTCGGCCGGATTACGCAGGGGCCCCTCCTTGTTGATGATAGTCATCGCGGGCCCCTGCGTGCGGATACGCACCGCCCGCACATCCCGCTCCGCTCGCAGGTTGCGGGCCTTCAGCACCGCCGCCACCTCCACCGCTGCCTCAACCGCAGAGATGCCGTGACCCTCAGCGGTGATGAGCTTGAAGAAGACGCTCTCCATCACGGCGCTCTCGAAAGGGCGCGACTGCACGATCTCCCCGCCGCCGAAGAGCGTGTCGCGGAACCCCCACTTGGGGGCCGTGAGCGCCGAGGGTAGTCCCGCCGCCGCACCACCCTGCCACCTCCCTGCCTTGTCGACGCGATCTCGACTTCGCCGTCCGATCAAGGCCAGGTGTACCGCCCGCATGCATGCGTCTCCCGCGGCCCAGCCCTTGCGGGGTCCCGCGTTGGGCGACTGGCGGAAGGTGCGCAGCGGGTGGCCGTCAATCCAGGCATGCGACAGCACCGCCAAAGCAGCCTCCTCGGGAAGACCTAGCAGCCACGAGGTGACCGCGGTGGAAGCAATCTTGACCAGAAGCGTGTGGTCGAGACCGTGGGCATTGAAGGCGTTCTTCTGCTGGAGCACGCCCTGGATCTCGTACGCTTTGATCTGTGCGGTGAGCACAGTGCGAAGAGAGACGCTAGAAAGAAAGAAAGGACTCAATGTCAGTGTGCCGTACGAGGAACCGTGAAAGATGTAACGGAGGAAAGAGGCAGGTGAACATACCGCCGCTCCGATCCCCGAGTCTGGCTCAACCAGTCTGCAACAGCAACAATGGCACCCAGATTGTCCGACGGGTGGCCCCACTCCGCCCCGGGATAGGCGTCATTGTGGTCGAGGTAGCGGATCAGGGAGCCAAAGTCAAAGGCTCCCTTCACCGGATCAAGGACATGACTGGTGCCAGGGAGACGGAATCCGCCCGGTACCACTGTCCCAGCAGCCACTGGACCTACCAGGTCTCTGCAGTCCTGGCTGAGGTGGAGGGACTCGATCGCACAGCCAAAGGCATCCAGCAGAGCTACTCGAGCCCTCCTGTAGGCATATGGGCTTTCAATCTTCTCGTGGTAGACATATCGCACGATCGACACCAGAAGCTGGTCGTACCCCGTACCTTGGTCACCCATTCTGGTTGAGAATCAGGCGTGGGCCTCCGAATCACTGAGACAAGAGAGAGTAAAAAGATTGGGGTACTAAGAACAGAATGAAGAGCCCCGGGAAATTAAATGGGAATTCAGCTCAACTCTGGATTCTTACTGGGCTTTTATTCTCTCGATAATGGCTACGTACCCACCGGGTGCCCTTTTAATCCACCGTGGACACACTGCTGCGGTGTGCATTCCACCCCCCTACACACGCCGATTTCAAGGTATGAACACTATGCGTTATCGAAAAGAGGCATCTTTTCTTTTCGCGTCCGCTATTTTTCCGAAATAGTATATTGTATGCCACCAGAGTGAATCCAATGATACCCGTAGCATGGACAACACGAACGATCTGCATGGCTACTTCCTCACGGAATCACCGAGTTCAGCTTGACAAAAAGACCTTGTGGTGCACCAATGGTCTATCACTTGCCGCCTGTCATATTCATACCGGGGGCAGACGCCTGCAGCTGAAGCGAGCGGATCGATCCCCTCCATCCACCGAAGATTGCGCTATTGATTTCAATACAGTCCGCGTCGGCTTTCGTCGACTTCCCAACGAGGAAAAGGAGAGTCCCGCGCTGGCAGCAAGTTAACGATACCTAGTAGGAGCAGCAGTCTATGGACTGGGTTTCTGAATGCCGGACGATCTCGGAATTATGCATGTCGGTCTGGTCCTCAACTTCGTATAGTGCAGTATGGTATATATGTATGTATGTATGTATGTATGTATGTATTGATGTATTGTATGGGTCGATCTCGACAGGGCACCCACTATTGTATTGTACCGTAATGAAATGCCGAGGTGTTACCGCTGGCTGATCGGATCGAAGCTGGATCCACACTGTCGGAACTACATGACAGAAGATTGTCATGTCCCGTCCTTTGGTCCGGCGAGAAAGAAAAGTTCCTCTTCTTAAGGCTAACCCAAAGGTATATCGGATATATCCTCACGTGATGGCTCTCTCGCTGCTCTTTATGGCAGTCTGGGATCTCTGAACAGGAAATCATCATCGACACACTGTAATTATGTGGCCGATATGACCCCACCAGACTGCATCTGACTCGAATAATCCCCAGTGATCATCTCAGGGTTGCTCTAAAGAAACACTCGCTCTCCCCACACCAGCACATTCTATGATCTAGGAAGCAGAGTCCAAGGTTTGGTACAGTAATTCCAAGTCAACAATCCAGCACGCTGAACGGATTGTGCCGTGTTCTCCGCGGGAGCTGGGTCCGTATCGAGTGTACATGAGGTCTCCATAGCGGTTTCCTCAGCTATCCCTATCTCGATCGTTACAATACATCTTCAATGACGATCTTTGTTGGGACGCCACTTTCTTGAAAATGGTAGAAATCGCGGTGTGGAGGGTCTCAACTCGGGGGAGATCGGTTGAGGTAGCAAGCATTCTGTGAGCATGGACTCGGACTTGCGATGAACAGATCCTTGACTCCACTTGAGCAATGCTTCGGTCCCGAGTCTTTCTGCCTCTCGTTTTGATTTGTAGTTTGCTCTCTAGTTCGCGAGAATCACGTCCCATTAGCGCAGGAAGGCTCGTTGGCAAAGTATGAATCAATGCTCCAGGGCCAATCGTAGGGAGAGCCTCCGGAGGGTGCCATGGGAAGATAAATCTCCTGCTGCTACCCCGTGGGCATTGCAGTTGACAGACTTGAGGCCTTCTTCTTTCTTTAGCAGTTCATCCCTGGTTCTGTGAGACGAGCAACCACACCACTCCCATACAATGGCCGCGATCTTTGATTCTCTTATCTTCATCGTCTCGAAGGGGCTGAACACCTTTGGGCTCGGGACCCCGAGCACGGGCAAGTCAGATGGCGAGCTCACAGTGGTTGACAGCCGGACGTCCAAGTCCTACACTATTCCCATCACCGATAATACCGTCAATGCCATTGATTTCCGCCACATCTCCACGCTGGGGTTGACGGCCAGCCCTCTCGAGCGATATGAGCATGGCATGCGCATCCAGGATCCGGGGTTCCGCAATACAATCGTCTGCGAGTCATCCATCACATACATGTATGTTGAGCCCAGATACCTTGCCTGGTGGACATTGTTTTACGGGGGGGTTGCTGACGAATTCCTCTGTCTGTCTGTCTAGTGACGGGTTGAAGGGCAAGATTCAATACCGAGACCGAACGCTCGACGAGCTTATGGAGCACAACGATTTTGAAGACGTAGCTTTCTTGCTCATCTGGGGTCAACTCCCCTCCGCTGCGGCCAAGGAGAGCTTTCGACTGAAGCTGGCAGCCCGAGCAAATCCGCCCGCGGGAGTCGAGGAGACGATCCGATCCTTTCCGTAAGTGCTTTCTACCTGCGGAAAGGAGGCAAAGGAGATAGCCAGACAGACATACTGACCAACACAACAGCCGCGACGCCCCATATCACCTTCCCATCATCGCCGGCTTGTCAGCCTGGGCGGCCGCCAACCCTTCCACCATCCCCATCTTTGCAGGGAAGGAGCTTTATCTCGGAAAGCCGGAGGCTGTCGACGAAGGGGTTTTGACGGCGTTCGCGGCCATTGTCACGGTCACAGCCCTGACTTACTGCCACCAACGCGACCGCAAGTTCACCCGGCCGGACCCCAACGCCTCTGTCGTGGAGAACATCCTCCGGATGATGGGGGCGGGAATCGACGAGACGACCGGCCGACCGCTCGACAAGATGGTGCGCATCCTGAACAAGCTGTGGATCATCTACGCGGACCACGAGATGACCAACTCGACCGCGGCCGCCATGCACGTCGGCTCGACGCTGGCGGATCCCCTGGCGACTCTCATCGCGGGCGCCAGCGCCGGCTCCGGGCCCCTCCACGCCGGCGCCATCGACCTGGCCTACAAGAACTTCCAGCGCATCGGCACCAAGGCGAACGTGCCGCAAGTGATTGAGGACGTGAAGGCCAAGAAGTACCGGCTCTTCGGGTACGGCCACCGCATCTACAAGGCCATCGATCCGCGGGTGAAGCATCTGAGGAAGATGCTGGGTGAGCTGCAGGTGGACGAGCACACGACGCCGGAGCTGGCGGTGGCCATGGAGATTGACCGCATCGCGGCCACCGACCCCTACTTCACGTCGAGGAATCTCAACGTAAACGCCGACCTCTACGGTTGCTTTGTATTCTCTGCGATGTATGTGAAGCCCTTTTCTCTCCGCGGTGCGGCAGGCACGACGCACATCGCTGACGCTTTGAATACCAAAACAGGGGCTTTGAGTCGGATATCATTACGGCGCTGATGCTGTCGGCTCGCGCGATTGGAGGCATGGCCCACTGGCGGGAAATGATGGGTAAGAAGCCCTCCATTGAATGACCTGGTATAAATATCGAATACGTACTGACGATACTAATCTACAGGCAAGCCGGCAAACATCTGGCGGCCGCTTCAGCGCTTCACCGGAGAGGTAATTGGACCGTGATGATATACAATGTTTATACCTAGTAAAATTACCGCGGAGTTTTCATTCAAGATAATAACATTAATGCTACTGCTTTACAAAAGAGAAAAATAAAGCCCATGTCTAGATTACTGCCGATGATAGAACGGGATGGTTTGAAACAAATGTGCCTGGACTGCTGACTGACCTTCATCTAGGGCTTGGGTTATCACTTCAGGATGACAAGGGTTCAAAAAGTTGCAGTCCTTGATATATACTCCACACACAGAGTCTACAGTACTGTCACGTAGAATATTCGGACAGCGAGTAATGGGTTCAACATACAAAGCTGACCAGTGTGCAACTGTGCATGCTGCACCTCGTTTAGCAGGAGTAATTTCCGATGGCTTCTCAACAAGTCGGCACGAACACGTTGATCTGACATCTAACTAGTTAATGCGTGATACGGTCAGGGGAGTGACTCCACAAGGAACAGTACAGTACAGTACCATTAAGCTTGTTTGCAGATTGTGGCTGGCTGAATGGCAATCTTGAAGATCTTGAAAATCTGCGGTGAAGGTGAAGAAGAGTGGGGCGGCAGCGGCCGGCGGCAGATCTCGGGATTCTTGGGTATTTCTTACTATCTATAAGTTAAATTAATTGAAATGAAAGTACTGATTTCATACCATCAAATCGACTGCCGGTCGATCAACAACCGGATCGGCCCACAGAGTTCTTTCATTTGCTTGTTTAAGCGAAGGCAGCGGGTACGTTACAGACGATCGTAGAAGGACCCTCACTCCGACGTTGTGGCCATCATAGAATGATCAGCGAATCCATTAGTTACCGCTCCGAGGCCGACATCGCAGTAGCTGGTGGTGGTTTGAAACTCTAATTTCTTCCTACAGAGGGGTGTTCTGTATACCGGTTGTACTAGCTACACAATATGGAATAGCCCGCCATTAGCCTGAAGCCACTGTAGCTGAGTTCGATTGCCTTTTCAGGGCAGATTTTCAAGTCCCAGTGGACGGTCCGGAGCGTAGTCTCTCTGGGAGACACGTCAATAGGAGGTTTGAAAGCTAGGTAACCTATAGGGGGCTGCTTGCAGACAGGGCGGGTCTTCGCGCTTCATAAGGGATTTGGAATTTCACATTCTTGAGGTCGTTGCCACAATGTCTTAGTATAAATCTGGCCTAGTTGAAGAGCAATACCCCTCCCTCCCTTGTTCTTCCGCACGCCCACTACATTCATAATTCTGCTTCTTCCGCGTGTGTATGGCCCAACAAGTCGGATCGATGGGTTCCCCAGAGTTACAGTCCTCCGCTACCCGCACCTTGTGCGATTGGATTCACGGCCTGTCGCTGGCCGACGTACCAGATGAGCAAGTGACTAGAATCAAGTACCTGATCTTGGATGGGCTGGCCTGCGCGTTGATCGGGGCGCGACTGCCCTGGTCAGCCAGCGCCGTAGAAGGAGTGTTGGCAATGGAGGCGGAAGGCAGCTGCAGCGTCTTCGGTTGGGACACGGTGAATGCCCTCCCCCGTCCAAAAAGTGACACCTGAAACCGTCCGCTGACAATGCTTGCACACAGAAAGTCGGCCCTCTAGCCGCTGCCCTCCTCAACAGCACCTTCATCCAAGGCTTCGAGCTCGACGATTACCACCGCTCCGCCCCCATTCACTCCAGCTCCATCATCCTCCCAACCCTACTCGCCGCCCTCGAGCACCGACCATCATACGGGGCAGATACGGCCACAGTCCGCCAGGACGGCGCCGCCTTCCTCCTGGCCGCGATCGTGGGCTACGAGACCGGGCCCCGCATCGGGCTGGGCGTCTACGGGGGCGACGTGCTCTCGCGCGGCTGGCACTCGGGCGCGATCTTCGGCCCCGCCGCCGCGGCGGCCGCGGCGAGTAAGCTGTTCGGGGTGGGCGTCGACTCCGTCGAGGACGCGGTCGGCATCGCCTGCACGCAGGCCGGCGGGCTGATGGCGGCGCAGTACGAGAGCACGGTCAAGCGCATGCAGCACGGGTTCGCGGCGCGCAACGGGCTCTTCGCGGCGCTGCTGGCACGGAGCGGCTACGCGGGGATCAAGGCCGTGCTCGACCGGCCCTATGGAGGGTTCCTGAGCACGTTCAGCCAGGGGAACGGGCGGGAGCCGGCGTACCAGCCGGACGCGGTGGTGCGCGGACTGGGGACGGGCTGGGAGATGGACCAGATCCTGGTCAAGCCGTATGCGTCGATGGCGGCCACGCACGGCACGATCGACTGCGTCGTGGCACTGCAGGAGAAGTACCCCGCGGCGCTGCTGCGGGATGTGAGCAAGATCCGGCGTATCACGGTGGAGATGTCCGGCATCGCGTTCAAGAAGGGCGGGTGGGCGCCCCAGCGCCCGTTGACGGCGACGGGGGCGCAGATGAGCTGCGCGTATGCGGCGGCGATGCAGCTGCTGGACGGAGAGGTGCAGCCGGCGCAGTTCTCCGCGGCGCAGCTGAAGCGCGAGGATGTGTGGGAGCTGATCGGGAAGATTCACTGCGTGCACAATGCGGACTGGGATGGCGATGTGAAGTCCGCGTGGCAGCAGCGGATTCGCTTGGAGATCAACGACGGCAATGGTGAGACGCAGGTCCTCACTGAGCGGGTGGCGGCGCCGCGGGGGAATCTTGTGCCTCTCTCCAATGAGGAGATTCTGGCGAAATGGCGGAGATTGACGCACAGGGTGATCAGCCCTGAGCGGGCAGAGGCAATCGAGCGGTTGGTGCTGAGCCTAGAGGAGGTGGACGACGTGAGCCAACTCGCTCACTTGCTTGTGGGGCGAACTGAAAATGTAGTAGATGTTGACTCGGCATGATTTCTCTCCCTCGCAGATGTGAAGAATGGGAAGAATGTGAATAGGGTTCAATAGATGGATGGCTCTAACCAGCTGTTCATGACAAAACTAATACTCCTACTCCCATCTCGAATTTCACCTTCGTATCCTCTACGTTTCGGACCTACGATAGCCACGATTTCCAACTCAAGAGGTCCTGAAAATGAGCTTTGAGCCCAGCACCAACACAACGATGCTCTACTCGTGCAGAGATGCAGGGGGTGTCTCTTTAGGTCAAGATGAAGGCAAAATAGGACATGCGTACTCAGTACAGGCAGCTTGGCAGACTCCGCGGAAATATGAGCACACCGCACATATTTAACTACTGCACCCAGGTTCCTTTGGTCAAGATTACAATTGTGAGTCAATGGCAGCCAATAGCTCATACTATTCAATGTGCACGCAGGCAATGTAAGATTGGGGAGGCACTGATGATCAATCTTGCTGGTGGGGCCCGATAGTTTCGATAGTTCCAATTGGTACGGAGTACAACACCGCTACTGCGTGCGGAACTGACATGACACTTCCAATTCCAAGTTGACACCTGGCAGGTACAGTACAGTACTTACCCAAGCCCGGGAATGGAATCCGCAGATCTAAGGAAGAGATCTCAAGATCTCGGTGGTAAGCCGCTTGTACATGTACTGTACGGTATTGAATCGATTACAAAGGTACCGCCTGTATTTTTACACACCGTGTATTGTACTCGACTGTACTGTACTGTTAGGTCTTTCTTAGCTCAAATGATATCCCAAACCGCTAACGACCCCAAAGCTTCATTAGTAGTGATCATACTTTGTCTAGACAGCTAATTTTTCATAATTGACATTCAGACAGCTTGTATTGGATGAAAAATGATCAGCAAGTATCAGACAATTCTCATCTCATAGCTTGCTCTTGGCCGATCACCGTGTTCGCTCAAACGTCCCCACCCATTCCCCCCAGCCGAGCACATTCTCCTCACTCAACTCTCCCACCAGCTGTTCCTTGGTGACTGAATGCCCCTTCATCCTCACTGCCGCCTTCAAAGCGATCAATTGAAAGAAATATCGATGCTCCCCATGCTCTAACACCGGACGTGGCCCACTCCACACGTTGTTGTGCCAGTTCCTGCCGTAGCGGAACTGTCCCTCCAGTCGATTGTCGCTGCCGCCGTCGGCCACGAGGAAGTGCTCTGGTCCCACTTCGCATGTGCCGCCGGGGATGCCGTAGTAAAGCCCATGCACCACCGGGGAAGGAAGGGGTGCATCGGGATCTTCCACAATCAACACATAGCTGTCGACTAAGGTCCTCTCCACGCTGGGGGGCAACGACCAGGCAAGCGGAGGAAATCGGTTTGCTGCGAGGGGGGTGTACTCCAGAGGGAGGGTCGAGTGCGAGGGGCCGATCGGGGATGTGATCTCGATGGTGGGCTCGAGAGCCCGGAGGGCAGCGCAGCAGCGCGTGAGGAGTCTGGCATCGCGACCCTTTTTGTTGGCAAGGAGGCGGCCCAGGAAGGCCTCTATGCGAGGTGGGAGCTTTTCCATGGAGAGGATCGAATGATGATTATGGGACTGGGAAGCTTGGTAACACCCAATGAAAAGAGTCTTTTGAACACACGGAGGAGATAGGTGCTCAGGTGTGAATGCTTGGGGAGAATAGTGCTATTCTTTAAACAGGCCCGCGTAGCGAACTGAATGTGGACCTGAGTGACTTGCACGTAGCCTGGTAATATATTACCACGCTAAAGTTGCTGTGGCTGAAGCTAGTTTGCTGGAGTCATGCTGATCTTCGCTCGAAGTGGGGGGACGTGAGTATTCCCCTGCAGTAAGGAATTTGTGACCCTGCTGGTTGCCTGCAAAAATATGGTCAATGCTTGGGTTCTATTCGACAGCGATACTTCGACCGTACAAGGACGGATCGGTCGGACACAAATTCCACAGACCATCTTAACTATACTTCTCTGGCCGAATCGCAGTCAAGAGTCTTTTCTCAATACCGATCTGCTTCTGGTGCAACCGCGGCTGAGGACATTTGGGGGACAGAATGACCTAGCCAAAGTAGTAAACCAACCCTGATCCAATCCACCCGGTCACTTGGGCTCAAGAGTTACAATAGCAGTCAAAAGTTCCCCCAGTGAACTTGATCGATCTCGTTTTTCTCACGCATGCCCATCAGAGTCTGAGTACCAGGTGCCTTGACGATGTTTTTATCATCTTTGACCCATATCTTTCTCCTTTCTCCATGCCTAGCATGGGCTCAAACCCCTCCGGACTTCATCTATCGAACCGAGAATACTCTGATAGTCAACTATGCGGGCAAGGTCCTTGAAACACCAGGGAACAATTTATCTGTGTCGGGTATGTAATGCCATGATGACGAGTTTTCAGATAGAGCCTTCACAATACAGATAGCTGACTTCAATCCTTGTGGTCTCCTGCAGACACCCTCGCGCAACCAACCATCGGACTGCAACAGAACAAAGTCACCGGTCCATTTGTCTTTGTAATGGTAGACCCAAGCCTCAACGATAACAGTGGCGCCACAGATGCTCTTCACATGGTGCAGACGGACCTATATCTTGTCCCAGCACCCACCACGGTCGACGGCGTCACATTCTACCAGCTTACCGCCTCATGCGATCCCCTAGCTGCCTATCTCACGCCAAACCCTCTTATCGGCACCGAAATCCACTACTTCACGCAGTTGCTCTTTGAGCAACCTTCGAATCTGGAGATCCCAGCGAAATATGCGTGGTATTGGGCCGATACAGTGCTCAATAGAGTGAACTTTCCATTGCAGGAATTTGTTGATGATGTTGGCTTTGGGGAGCCGGTCGCGGCGAATTACTTCCTGGAGCACCGTCTGAGTCTTTTGTGATGAGCTAGGAAGTATTATACATATTTCGAGACGAGTAATAAGAAGCCACGCGCGGAGCTAAGGTTCCAGCAGGAAATGAACAGGAAGTCCGGACTTATTTTTCAGTAGGGATCGCGAAGACCGATTGGATATGGTTTCTAGTGGCCAGCATGGATATAGAAATTAGCTACAATTGTTCGAGCACATACGACCACAGGGTGTGGAAAACAGGGCTTCCCGTCCGCTCAGCCGTACTTAAGCCACACGCCGGGAGGTTAGTAGTTGGGTGGGTGACCACCAGCGAATCCCTTCTGTTGTATGTTTTTATCTCTTGATATTTAAGTCCTTTTTTCCTCCTCTCTCCTTACTAAATGCGTAACCGTTAACGTAATCGTCAGCCGAGCGAGCCACGCAAGCGAGCGAGCCACCCCTGAATCCTCCCACCTCCAAAACTGAAGCAATTCAGCAGTCAATTAC